AGGGGTTTTTGGTGTGGTGTGTTTAAAATAATATTCTTGGTTGGGTTGTAGTTGTGTAACTCAGTACGAGGGGTTTTTGGTGTGGTGTGTTTAAAATAATATTCTTGGTTGGGTTGTAGTTGTGTAACTCAGTACGATGGGTTTTTGGTGTGGTGTGTGGCGTCATTACAGCTCCACGTTAAAAAGAGTTTTAGCCAGTTTCGTATTATGTATTATATATGTTAAAAATATTACACAAACGTATACCCCCAATGGCTCAGTGGCAGGTCTAAAGGCTTTTAAGGCTAAAACCTGAGCTTAGATACCCGTGATGGACACAGCCCAGATAACCCATTGTGTAACTATGTGCTTAACATCCACACACAAAAATATAAAGTTTTTGTTTGTATCGAAATGTCCTCTACTAAGATGTCACATGAGGAATCTCATATACACACACATATATATAAATCATCTAAAAAATGTCATTATAGAACAAGTCCATGCGAATATAGAGAATAAAATATTTTGGAAGACACAGTTGAGATACTATTTCTCCCAGATCTTTGGCGACAGTCGATTGCACAATCTTGATAATCAATCAGAGTTGCGTCTGAGAAAACATCATTTTTACTTCGTGTGTCGCGATAATCGACAAACTAAGATATATTGATCCAGGTTTTCTGGCAGAATTTGACTTTTTAAGCATCTTGAGATATCTCAATTTATTTTACTTACTTTTTTGCATGACTTTTTTCGAAATAATTTCTAAAATCACGTTATAATATGTACGTTTATTACTGAACAAGTTTTATCCATAAAATTATATGGAAAATTCATCCTTTGAGGAAGGTATTGCTTTATCAATACTACCTATTAAGACTATATTTTGAATGATTTAACGAATTTATTACTTTATTGAATGTGTGATACATTCTTTAAAAAAAAGGCTATCATTTTCAACTTATTTTGTCCAAAACGGTTACAACTATCAGAGTATCAACAACATGCTAGTTAATTCCAAAGCAATAATATTTTTTGGATTTTTCTTATTTATAAATGCAAAATAGAGGGATAATGAAATATGGTTGGCGTTGATATTTTAAAAACCTCACTATAACGAATAGAATCAAACCCTTCTGTAGCAAATATCCCACTGTATGTTAATTCCCAAGAAATGTCACAAGACCAGTGTTAGAAACTTTATACCTACATCTTAATATACACATTATATAAAACATACAGTTTAGTTTCCTAAAATATACTAAATCTCGATGCATAAATCGGGTTTATTATTATAGGCTTCGTTTTTCTGTTTCTGTAAATTTTATGCTAACATAACTAATTAAAAGAAGGTTTTTAAATGCCATGCTTTAAGAACTAATAGAACTTAAAATATTAACAACAATATGGTCCTGATAAGAAAACGTGTATGTGATTTACCTGGGAAGTAAAAACGTAACTTTTCAGTTTCTAGAAAGTGGATGTTATTTATTTACAATTTTTGTTTATTGTTTTATAAGTTCTGCTTTGTTCAAGTAACTAAAAGAAATTCACATCATTCAAGTATCGAGAGATTGAGACGACACAAGGTGGTTTCATCATCATAGTAAAACATTACGAGTTTAATAAATGAAGAACTATTTCATCCTATTAAAAACGATGCGTGATCACAGCCCTAATTAAACTTCTAATACGGTTACTTTACACGGTACATGTTATGATCTGGAGATCTTTAGTCTCTCTCTCTTTCGGTTGATATGACTTGCATTTTCATATTACGAACTTTGCAAATTTCAGTAATCGTTACCGATAATGCAGTGGCAAGATTAAATAAAAGTGTCATACGCAAAATAGATCATAGCATTGTTGTATGGAAAAGTTGCCCGTGAAACTGAAAATCTAAACCAATACAGAGGAATAGTAATAACGATGCACATTGTCTTAAAAAATCATTCTCTGAACTTTAAATCCAATTTTTAGCACCTTCATAACGAAGTTATTCTAAGTAAAGTTATAAAAACTAATCATGTGTATTGTAATTAACAAAGGCAATATTATAGTAACAATATTATATGACGTAGGTTTAATTAATAAATCTCAAGGTGCTGTAATGTTGCATTTTATGTTATAACTTAGCTGAGATGATAGAAGTTCATATTATTCGAAGCTGCAGTCTTTAAAAATTCACGACATGAATGCGAAAAAATATCTTATGTATTGTAAAATTGTATCCTGAAGAAACTGGTTCTAATATAAAAGAAAAATGTATTTCGGGAGATGAAGCCTATGATATTGAAGCAGACACATAACTTTGAAGTAGGGTGGTTTTACCCCGAAAACACATTTAATGGCGTACTAAAATCTACTTTTAACTGCAGATTGTAAGACTTTAACGAGTGAATTAATAGGTCATTTGACACTCATGTACACATTTAGATTTTTTTTTATCCCGGTTACCCTTTTCATCTCAACAATTTCGAATATTTACCGAACACCATACTAACAAGTTCCCCAAGGAAATATGTTGCCATGGTGATTACGACTTTAAAAACTGGATGATGAATGAAGATTATGAAATCAATATAACGAGACTAGTGCTCTCGCGAAACCTAAACGAGAGAGTATAGTATACGAAGAGTGGACAGTCATCAATGCTTTGTCAAGATTTACGTCAAATGAACCGTGGAAAACCTATATCACCACTAACCTTGTAAATAGGAATTATAAATCTCTGTATTAAATAATTTTAGACTTACCAGAATTGATTTGGGCTAGAGGTTATATTTCCTTTCAGTACTTAACGTAAGACAACAGTAATCAAGCTTATTTAAGCATTGCATTAATCGAGCTTCTTGGTTTTTGTTATGGTAAAGGTTATGCTAGCTTTGTTGTAAGCTAAGTTTATTAGGTTATTTCTGCTCTTTTTATAATGTCACTTCACTAATACTACGATCGCTACAGTCTGTTTTGTATTCTGGTAAAGTAATGCTTTGATAAACCTACTCTTCAAATCAAGGGTCTGGTTTCGTCAGATAAGACAGCCAAATAACATGTTTTTTGTTGTTGTTTTTATAAATTGCTGATACGACAAGACATTATTTTGTTTCAATACAATAAACATCTCTCCTTGCAATGTTTAATAAATAAATGCTTATATTAATTCTTGTATTATTGGGATTTAAATGTACACTAATATTATTTAAGTTTATTCTGTAAACAAATACTTATAATTGTTTTTTTAAAAGGAATTTTTGTTTTAATTATTAATTATATATCAAGCTTGCTTTTATAGATCCGTGGTCCCCCAGTGGTATGTTTGAGTACTTACAACGCTAGAAACCGGGTTTCGATACCCATGCTGGGCAGAGCACAGATAGCCCATTGTGTAGCTTTGTGCTTAATCACAAACAGACATATAGATCTGTGTAACATCAACAGTGCGGAAATGTCTACAAATGTTTATTGTACTCATATTATTTCTGTAATAACTGTTCAATAATTTATACTGATTACTTTTCAGTTGAAAAAAAAAGATATTTTAAATCATACTCTTTCTCTACAAAGTGACATTCAGTGACTTACAAGAGCGGTTAGTAAAGGTAAGAAACTCTTAATATATGAGCTGGTTAGTAAAGGTAAGGAACTCTTGATATATGAGCTGGTTAGTAAAAGTAAGGAACTCTTGATATATGAGCTGGTTAGTAAAGGTAAGAAACTCTTGATATATGAGCTAACTAACACGAATCTTTTGTATTATTTTTGTTACAGAATGACGTAAGTAAGAACTTCCTCAAACATTTCAAGGATGGTACTCGATCAGGATGACATCGTTCAGTCAATACTGCACGGTAATCTGACGAACGACCCTCCTTCTCGAGTCGTCAAAATTTTCGTCAGCTCTACTAAATCAGGTGAGCTTTGAAAGTAAGTCCCATGCAATAAACTGATTTATCCCGGTATTTATTGTGTAATCCACCGCACAGTGGTCCAGGTGTGGCCTAGTAGTCAACATATCCTCACTGTGAGTCTGAGGATTCATGGTTCTCGAACTGTTGCCGAAAAAAACCGCTCTCCGCGCATTTGAGCTATAAGAGTAATGGCCAAACGCACCTATTCCATCAGACAAAAGTAACCCAATAATTGGCTAGCAACCTTTTCTCCAGTGCATCAGCTCAAAACTATGAATAGCTTTGTATGAAATCCTAAAACAAACAAACCATCGTAATTCAGCAGCTTTATTGTGAAAAGATCTTTCAAACTGAACATGCACTTATATTATGCTATCAAAGTCTCCATATATTAGTTCAGATTGTGTTATTTTCTGCAGTGTTGAGTACATGCAGCAGTCTTATTACTTGGCTATACCTAGCGGATGTAATCCTGTATGGTTTAATTATCTCCTTGCCAAATTACAGTTTTTGCTTCAACACTTATGGTTTTGTGTATTCTAATTTACTGATAAATGATTCGTTTCTCCATTCCATTGTCAGATTAAAACAGTGTATATTAATCCCAAAATTGAGGAAAAGCAAAATCACATTATATAACAAATACATTTATCTTACCTATCACGTTGCAATTAACTTCGGTTAAAATATAAACACTAAGCAAAAAAAAACTGACACAAAAAGTTGTAATTTTACATGGAGAATAGCCTCATGTGGATCTAACTGGTTTATTCTTGATTAAATTATATTGGGCAAACATAATGGTAAAATTACAGGTGGTTAAAATACTGGCACAAGAAAGAGTATACATGGAAAGAGAGGGAAACGGAGACGAAAAAAGCAAATTATGTTATGATAATATAAATAACAATGATCGAAAGGGACTGCCAGTTCTTTTGGTAATATCCCAAATTTTAACTGTAGTTTAACAAAACTTTACGAGTATGACGTCAGTGATGTCACAAGTCTCAGGTTTAATCTTGTAGTAAAGTTCTAGGAAAGGTATTGTGTTTTTAATTTTAATTTAGCCTTTAAGGAGTACCGAAGAAAGAAAAAGAACAACATAACAGGATTATACCCTGAATTCAAGTTCCCAATATTAGTTTTTCTCTGAGATACTTCTATCGGTTCTAAATTATGAAAACCAAGAAAACGACTAAGATTTCTAAACTGTTAAATCCGAAGTTGTGGAATCGTTTACTTTATTTTGTGTGTGTTGTGTTTTCTTCTACAGATTTTTGTAGCGAATTGGATTTGGCATTTTCAAAATAACACAATTGACAGAAAAATACAATTACAACGTATTAAAGTTAGAAATATATATATATTTTTTATGTTAAAATTGTTGATAAAAAAAATGGTCAAAGTTTTGTCCAACAAATTTCCCCGAGACCCAACAAAGGTTATTTGGTCGAAACATTGTCCGTTTTCTTTGTCGTTGTAGCGAATTTTTGCTCAACATTTTGTGTTATGAAAATCCTTATCATTCAACGACTATCTTTGTTTGTTTGTTGTTAAGCACGAAACTACACATTGAGTTATCTGTGATGTGTCCAACACGGGTATCGAAATCCGATTTTTAGCGTTATAAACATTCAGACTTATCGCTCAGTCACTGAAGAACTTAACATTTATGAAATATATATATATATATATATTCATTTTCTTATAAAAAATTCGCTTATACAGAATAAATTTAGTCCTGGAACTTTCTTGCGTCATTCTGCTTCTGTAATAATGAGATGATATTATTAAGAATTAAGTGTAATACTTATTTACAATTTTACGTATTAAAATATCTGTAACTGATTGAAATTGAAATAAATGAACAAAAGTCGCGATGTTTGCATAAACATGCTAAAGTTAATAATAAACATTTCATTTGACAAAAGAATAAAAGAAAGGAGTACAAAAACGTTCTTAAACGTCTGCCTTTTTGACTTATTGAACATATTCATCTATTCAAAAGTAAATTAATATATTTTCTTTTTGAAATAACACTAGTTTTGATAAAGAAACCGAGTAACATTTATTATCTAAGAAAGGAAAACTATTTCAGACCACCAACAGCCACCACGAGTCTTTGTAAAACAAACAATCAAATACATTACATTGCGTGCAAACTCATTGTGAAACATTGCTAGCTTGTAATACAACCTTGCATATTCACTCTCCCAGTTCAGCAGGATTATTGATTGCTACGTATTTGAATCGCACGATGCAGTAATACTTCGCGAATTCTTATATCACATTCCACTCGAAGTTCGTTTTCGCGCATAAACCATTTAAGAAAAACATGGAGCTTGGGGATGAGACTTAGTGCTACCATGTTTAGCCTAACCTTGCAGAGAAACTGTGTTTTTGACACAAGTAACTAGTGCAATCTCTGTTTAAACATTAATAACTAACAACAACAAAAATATAAAACAGCATCAATTATTAGTATATTGATAACTAGAAAGAAAAGTAATGATCGAAAAGCTAAGAAGAGAAAAAAACGCGGGAGAAAGATCGAAAGAGACGATATGAAATATTGTGTTGACCAATCAGATATGGAAAGAAAAATATGTTAAAGATTTACCTCTTGAGTTCCATGAATCTCTATGCAGACTACAACATGCGAACCAAACAGTCGTTGTAAACTGTAATTAAGTTTATTGTTTACAGATTATTATTTGAGCTTCTGTTATCAGTTACTCGGTTCGTTGCTTACTAGTAATCCAGTTTTGTTTTGTTGTTTTTTCATATCGTACGTGTTTATCTGTGTGTTTTAGTAAGAAATAAGACGTGGTATTGGTGAAAATTGTATAGCGTTTAGTAATTCAAACCACAATGAACTGGAATATATATATTTAGGTTGAATACTGAAACTCCTCAACTTTTAGTCAAAATCGATTCTCATTTGTGTGATATTGATTTTAGACACTCGTAACAACTTTATTTCATTCAGTTGATTTTCTCATGACTTTTCTCACTAGCTTTGGAGTAATTAATTACATTGAAACTCTGCCTGTCCTCGACGCCTACCTCTAGTCGTTTATATCAACACTGGCATGTTCCGAGTTCACAAGTCTTTGACTTATCGATTCCTAAAGATTCATCCGTCTTAAGTTAATAATAAAGTTTCCCATGGCAACACATTTCCCAGGAGTATTTGGTTATTCAATGGAAAATATGTTCATTACTACATTATTGCGAAGCGTTTAGAAAGGAGAGGGATCTTCTCCAAAATATTAACGGAATTTAACTTGTGTCATTGCAAATCAACTATTTCTGTGCTATGTATGTTTTGTATAACACTACTTAAGTCATTTTTGTATATGTCATTTTAAACTATTATATTGATAAATTGGTAAATAATTCGAAAACTCTTTTGATATTTCAAAATCTTTATACTTGTCTAGTGTTCCACTAGGCCTTATAACTGAAAATCGAGCTTCTATATGGTAGGAAGGTATTTTAGTTGATAGCTTTAAGGATAATTAGAGGTTTGCGCAATTCATTTAGAATTGTTGGAGCTGGTGTAAATTATACCGAATGTGGTACAGACGTTAACACTTCGGGCTGTAGATCAAAGAGTCTGTTGTTAAACATTATGCCATTGAACATGTTCCATGCTTTCATATGTGGGCGCGTAATAAACCCGTTATTCGGCTCGAAACACGTGAAATGCTGGTAAATATTTCGGTTTGAAGTCTTCTGAGGAAGGCCTCCGAGGACAACAGCCCTGAAATATGAGATTTCTCTATTGGCCATATTTGCATTAGTGCGTAAAGAAGACATGTTCCCTATAAAAATAAAAATGAAGAGTCATACCTCTATTTCCATTAAATATTCCTTCATTTGATTTTTTAATTAGATAGTTTAATGTTTCCCATATTTTAAGTCTTTAGGTTTGGTTTGTTTTGAATTTTGCGCAAAGCTACACGAAGGCTATCTGCGCTAGTCTTTCCTGATTTAACTGTGAACGACGAGAGGGAAGGCAGCTAGTCATCATCACCCACCGCCAACTCGTGAGCTACTCTTTTTACCAACAAATAGTGGGATTGATCGTTACATTATAACGCCCCCACGACTGAAAGGGCGAGCATGTTGGTGAAACAGACATTCGAACCCACGACCCTCAGATTGCGAGTCAGGCGGTTTTAAGTCTTTTGATAAAATGTATTAGCTTAACCACTACCAATCAGGATGATCAATATAAATTTATTAAAAATCGAGATAAATCACAAATATACTGCATTTACAATTTTAACCATTTAATAAAACAATAAGAAAGCAATTTGGGGTGATTTTTTAAATTGAATTTTATTTATTTTAAATTTACGATATTATCTGTACAGTGTTTTGTGCCAACATTTTACAGATTAACTTTGTAAATGAACTAAGTCCAGTCAATATTTTTGAATAAAATGGATATTACTTTTAAGAACTTGTTTTCTAATTTTATTAGTCTTCTTAAGATACTGGACATTTGTTAGTATTACTGAACTGTCACTTCTTAAACGTTTGCTTTTTTTCCTATTTGCACTAATGATGTTGATAGAGGTATAATTAGTAAATAGTAAAGTTTGCTGATGGCATAAAACTATTGGGTATTGCTAAGATGAGTCTACTGGTAAGTTGGACAAATATTTGACAAATGACTTCGAATTATAGAAAGTTCAAGGTAATGCCTTTTGCTTAGGATCATATACGTATAAGGATCACACATTTAATATAGAATGGACCCACTAAAGAAAGTAATTTTAACACCTTGGTTGATAAGACATTAAAGCCATGAAAGCAGCGCTCCGTGCCACTAATAAAACTAATAGAATTTTAGAGTGTATTTATAAAATATATTGAGTAAAAATCACAAAAGGTAATTACCTTTATATAAAATCATTAGTTAAGCCTCCCTTGGAATACTGTATGGAGTTTTGTCTCCTTATGAGAGAAAGCATATTGATTTATTGGAGAGG